CCGGGGAGCTGGCCTTCGTGAACACGAGCATGGGGTCGCGAACGCGATGCAGAAATTTTAAGGCTGAAGCAGGTTGTGCTTCGCGAACGCGAGGGCATTTCTGCGTTCGCGAAGAAGGGCAGTGCTGGGCAGTGACTTGTTTTAAGACGGGATTTGGCCCATTTCTTTCATTTTTCTCTTGGCTTGGGCGATTCTTGGAGGATTTCAAGAGGGGGTTTCATCATTCAATGGAAAGGTAAGTTATCCTCACTTATTAGGAGTTAAATACATGTATTATGGGTAGATTAGCATGTGGAAATTAGGGAAAATCAAGGGTTGTTGACGAAAAACCTAGAATTTTGTAAAAACAAGATTTAACCACGAAATTTGTTAGGGAATAAAGTAAAAATTATATATTCTTGATCCTTAGGATAGGATAACAACTTTCTTCAAAAATTTCCGGAATCCGGGTACGTGGGCCCGGGGATGAATTTTAGGAACCTTGTATTTAGGGTTGGGAAATTGGTTTAATAATTAGAATATGAACTTTTGAGCATGTATTGACTAGTTCTTACCCTATTTGAACAGTTTTGGATCGTTCGGCTCCGAATTGGAGGTTTGAGCACGTTCTAGAATCGGAATATAGGCTTCGGAGCGAGGTGAGTCTCCTTTCTAACCTTGTAAGAGGGAATTGTCCCCATATGTGAGTTAATTGGTTATGTGCTCCTATTTGTAGGGGCTACGTACGCGCGAGGTGACGAGAGCCCGTACGTAGCTACTATTATGTTTATGTCTGGGTAGTCTAGGACCCAAAAGCATGCTATACTTGGAATAATTGTAATCTTATTGACAGTTGAATTGCTTAATTCTACCGAATAGGTAAATGAATTTCTAAAAGGATTAAACTTCATTTTATAAAATTATTAAAAGAGAATTGGCTTTTCTTTGGATAATTGTTCCCTGTTGACTTCTTGACTGACTGACTGTATGTGTTTAATTTCGGAACGGGCCGAACGCCTCGGTAGATTAAATAGATGCATCTATGGTTCGCGTCATTCGACCCTCTAGCAGTGCACAGTTTAAATATTATTGGATCGGGCCGTACGTCCTCGGCATGATTTGTGCATGCTTGTATTGCTTGCCTTGGAATTTATATATGTTGATATTTGCTCTCCCTGATTTGAGAATAAATGTATAAATGATGAAAAGAAATTTGGGAATTTTCTATAAAAGAAAGAATTATTTACTTGCTTCATTCTATTGAATTACAATCCTGTTATGGAAATCTTCAATTTATTATATTATTGACGTATCATTGTTGGACCATTAGTAAGTGTCGAAGTCGACCTCTCGTCTCTACTTCTTCAAGAATAGACGAGATACTCATTGGGTACACGTTGTTTTCGTACTCATACTACACTTGCTGTGCATTTTTGTTGCATAGGTTCAAGTGTGGCTAGTGGCTTAGTGGCATAGCGGCATGGTTGATACGGGGACTTAGGTGAGCTGCATTTATCGAGATGACCCGCAGCCAGCAGAGTCCCGTTCAGAGTATTTTACTGTGTTTTTCATTTTTGTCTACTTGTATTCCGGACAGTTACTATATTTATTGCATTCTCTAGTAAATACTCATGCACTTGTGACACCGGGTTCTGGGATGTCTATGGGAGTAGTCAGTATTTTGAAATTGTTAAAGATATCATTATTTATTCAGTGGAATTTATTCTTTATTGCTTAAATGTATAAAAGAAGTGAATTCAAAAATATCTAAAACGAGAAATTACTAGTTATTTAGTGTTGGCTTGTCTGACAATAGTGTCCGGCGCCATCACGACCTTTAGTGAATTTTTGGGTCATGACAATGTAATAATATTACACGATGGATAATAATAAAGAAAAATATAGAACAAAAAAGTTATTCAATGACTATATAAGTCCCTTTAATTTAATAGAAATTTTATTATTGGGTATATGACGGGTGTCTGGCGTGTATATAATTTAAACTCGTACTCTGTCAAATAATAGTATAGAAAGATGTCGAACCCACAGAGATTGGTTTATCTATTCTACAGTCGTTTTTTGTCTTAATTACTATTTGAGAAAATCGGAAAAAGTTGAGTTGTGAATTAATTAACTAAAAATGCATGAATAGAGCAGTAGGAAATGATTTTATTTTTCACAAATATAATAAAAAGATGTTGGGATCATAACTTCACTTAATATTTCTATAATATAATAGATAAAATATTCCTCCAATTTGTATTTCTCACAAATGTATAAATGTCTCTCACAATTACATTTATATATTATTACTTAAGTTGAACAATTAATTGCACTCCTCTCGGTTATACAAATTAATAGTCAAAATACTAATATTAAAGAGCCAGAAATATATGCTTAAACTGAAACATGCTCTCTTTTAGTAAGTCCCTTTCGGTTACCTTACTTGTTATAACTGATTGCTACAATATTCGCCTTTTTCGATTACAAATTAGTATAAAATCAATTTTAACATATAACAGCTAGATGTCAATAAATAAAGGTTAACATCTATCAATACCAAAATTAACTATATTACTTCTTCCGCTTCTCTCGATTACAGAATTAATAAGAAGTTAATATGTAGTATGAAATAGATAGATGTTAACAAATTAAATAACACATAACTATAAAGCAGATACAATTTGAATGAAAAGTTTCAGCTCAAACACGCGAAATTGAGGAATAATATCTACTATTATATAGAAATATTAAGATCCGCCATTTTCCCAGCACAAGAAAAGTTACTCCATAATGGAATTAGTATTAATAACGGAAAAATTCTTGCTCATTAAATAAGAAAATAAAAAAAATATTCAAAAGAATAATTTTCCTATTTAATTCAAAATAGAAACTAAAGTAATTTCCTATACCGGATAACTTAAGAAGTAGAAAAAGGAAAAAGACTAATGAGAAGAAGATTTCAATTTTTTTGTCTCGATCTCTTCCTCTCTCTATTTATAGATGTCTCCCCACACTGCTGTTGGGGCTCAATATATCTCTATTTATAGATGTTCCCAGGACTATATACATTGAATTCTCACAATTTTTATTCCAAATTGGCAACTTGTCGAATATGTGTTCACTGAACTTCTTCATCTAACTTGACAACTTGCAACTTCATTTGTTTTGAAATTGTGTGCTCATAAATTTATTTCTGACAACTTTCCATTTCAAGTTGATAAGCAGCAACTTCTTTTCCTTTTTTATTTGTCTTGAGCAAACTTTTGTTTTCTGTTTCCATTTCTTCTTCTTCTTCTTTTTTTCCATTTTGTCTTGACGTTGGATCTTCTTTTGAGAATGTCTTCCTTAATTGATAAATTGTTGATTATATTATTAAATTATTATACTCCTGCAAAGAAAAATAAAAATATTAATATTAAAATTAAATTAATTACTAATTTTATGCAAAATATTTTTTTCTTATCAGTATATCGTATTAACAAATAAGATAACAATTGAAATTTATTAAAGTAATACGATCTAATATGTTCAAACAAGACTGATCACAATTTAATTTAATTAATATTTTTTAATATTGATGTAGTTTAAACATAATAATAGAGAAATAATTTAAAAAACAAATCTCATCCTTTCAAAATTAACAAGAACACGTGTTAGTTACCCAAACCTATATTAACATCTACCGGAGCAAATTCTAATGGGAGGAGCCGCTTCCCATCTAAATACTCTTTATCAACTTCAACCCAATAATGTCCAGACCGACCAAATGGAGTAAACTTTGAATAACAACCAACCAGCTCACTTTTTTGCTTCTGGGGTCAAGCATTAACACCTTCAACTTACAGGATAGAGCAGTATTTAACCACTAGCTAATTGTTCTGTGAGGAAGGCAGTAAACCATGGATTACTTAGCCATTGTTGGTGTATTACTACTTGCTTGGACTTTGATTCAATGCATTTCTTGCCTTTCAATAAGCAACAGAAGTAACAAAAAATTTCCACCAGGACCAATTCCACTACCATTGATTGGAAATCTTCACAACATTCTTGGTGATCAACCCCACCAGTCCCTCGCGAAGCTAGCTGAAAAATATGGCCCAATAATCAGCCTCAGGTTGGGCCAAATAACGACGGTGGTAATATCTTCATCAGCCGTAGCAAAAGAAGTTATTCAAAAGCAAGATTTGGCCTTCAGCAGTAGAACAATCCCAGATGCAATCCATGCACTTGATCACTATCAGTTCTCTGTGATATGGCTACCAGTCAATACTCGGTGGAGAAGCCTCCGGAAAATCATGAATACTTATATCTTCTCCGGCAACAGGCTTGATGCAAATCAGAATCTCAGGTATATATAGAGCTAATTGGAAAGCTGAGTCAAACTTGGGAAGATCAAATCAATAAACAAACTCATGGCCTAGCTGCCAAGCTTCTTTCTTATTTTGAAAAAGTGGGTTTTTAAAAGTACTTCCAAAAAATAATAATTTGTGTTCGATTAATTAATTTAAAGATATTTTTTTTATTATTAGAGCAACAATGAGTGCTTGACCAAGATTTTAAAATGTGCTTTTAGAGAGACGCCACCTTATTCAGCTTCTCAAAAACAGTTATTTCATATGTATACAATTTCCAACTTCCAAATTTATTTTGTGTATTCGGGTTTAGATTACATTTTTATAAGTCGAGTTACAGTATTTTGATCTGTTTTGACCCAATATATGTTTAAACCTCAAAACATTTGGTCAAAAATGTTGATTTTGCAACTTGTAATCTCAGGTTTCGAAAGATCCAAGATTTAATAGATTATTGCCGTCGGTGTAGCCAAACAGGAGACGTAGTGAATATAGGACAATCTGCTTCTGAGACCTCTTTGAATATATTTTCGAATATCATTTTTTCAAAGGATGTAGTGGACCCTTATGCAAATTCAGGTAAAGAATTCAAGGATGCGGTGGGCAAAATGTCGGAAGAAGCTGGTAAACCCAACTTGGCCGATTATTACCCCGTCCTGAAAAGGATAGATCCTCAAGGTATAAGGCGACGCATTGGCAAGCATTTGGATAAATTGCTTCAGCAGATTGAGGGATTGATTGAAGAACGTTTGGAGCAAAGGAAGAAATCACCAAATAGTGGTAGCACCGATGTTCTTGATGTTTTGTTAAATACTAGCCAAGATGATCCACAGGCAATTGACAGAAATCACATTGAACGGTTATGTCTGGTATGTTTTCAACTTCTTCGTTAAGTTCCTTATTGCGGCCAAACGCACGCGCAAGTATACACGATCGTCAAGTAATAAAGTGACTAAAAATCGGATGTCGAACTCACGCGGACTTGTGATTAACTATTAACTAAATTAGACTATCCTAATTATCTAAAGAAGGATTAAACCCAAAAAAAGTGATGCTAAAGTAATTAAACTAAAAAGAAAATAACTAATGAACTTTAAATAGAGAAAGAGCAGATTTTTATATTATTTATGTGATGAAAATGATCTAGGGTTATGGGCTATCTAACATTCCTATTCTATTCTTCAACTGAATTGACTAATTAATTTATTGGTTAACAGGGTTAATATTGCTCATAAGAATCTGTCCAGTTCTTACCCGTCTATTCAAGCTAGCCTAACGCCTATATGTCTATAGAATTAGAACTAACAAGAACGCATTTATAATTCCTGTAAATCAACCAAGCAATGCAATTAGGTATATGGTTATCCTAACCGTGAATCCGTTCCCCGATGGTGCCGGTTCAAGAACTTGTTCTACTCAATCATATATGCAATCTAGAATTCTCACTTTCGAGTTCAACTCTAGATTCATAGATAGTATTCAATTGATGATCAAGCAATTAAATAATTTTGCGCAAGATTGAATAAATAAACTAATACGATAAACTAAGAAATCAAAATCAATATTCGAATAACAATAATCATGAAAGAACCATAACCCTAGAATGTGAAGCTGAGCTTTACATAGACATGGTAGCCGAACAACAAATCATACAAAGAAACATAAAAATTACAAAATTTGGTGAAAGAAAAGATGAAACTCGACCTCCACGACGGTTATGAACTCTCCCTTCGTCAAGAGTTACTCTAAAAAACACCCCTCCCCCCTCCAAAATAGGTTTAAGACCCCTTTTATATGAGTTGAGAGCGTATAAGGCCGAAATAATCTTGTCTTGTGCAAAATAGGAGACTTCCCCGGCTCAGCGTCCGACCAGTGCCTAGCGCTGGACCTGGCGCAGAAAGCACTGATGTTTTGAGTTGCATTTTATATATTACTCTTTTGTCTTCCATTTGGGGGACAAAACCTAAAGGGTGTCCCCCCCTTGTCTTATTATTTTTTTCTTTCATATTTTATTTAATTTTGCTCCAAATTTCTTTATCTTCACACTGCTTTATTCCTACACAGTTAAAACATAATATTTAGCACAAAGTAATATAATTAGTACTCAAAGGATGATTCAAAGTACTAGAATATAAGGTAACAATATATATATATATATCACCACCCCACACTTAAACGTTGCTCGTCCTCGAGTCAACCAACAATTTACACTATTCTTGAACACTTTATATTTACACATTTGAAGCACACTACACCAATGACCATGGTTGATAGCAAAAATTAAACCTTAGCATATGCAATCACATATACTTCCCTTTTTCTTATGTCAAACTTCAAAAATATTCAAACAAAGACAACATGCTCATAACAATCCTAGCTCAAAAATCGACTCAATGTCACAATGCACTAATGGCTTGAACACTTAACATCGTAGAGAAGTCTAATAATATTACCTATCCCTCATGAAACCATGCGCCTTCATAACAAGAACAAAAGAGTAAGTTGAATGCACACACTTAAATCAAATGCTCAAATATATTTTAAGGACTCATATATATCAAAGTATCACCCACCATCACAAAAGAAGTCACATGCATGCAATTGATACCATAGGCTTGCCCTTAATGTAAATCTCTACTAATGTAGGCTTGGTCAGTCTAAATTCAACTAGAACTTTTTCATGGTTGTAATGTGGGATAAGGGATGGGCAGGATATATTTTGGAATAATGACTTAACCTCTTAAGCACTTTAACACATCATATGATAAACTTTAAGCTCAAATTCTTCAATCCACTTCAATTCCACAACTAAAATCACTCCCATCAATTGTTCTCTCTTTCTTTAAGCACCACTTCAATTTATACCCCCACTAGCAAGAACAAGACAACAATTTATTCATCTACATTTTTTTCTTCCTTTTTCTAGATTTTTCTATTCATTTTTTTCAACTATTATTTTTTTTTTAATTTTCGCTAGTGGTGTATTATTTTAAAAAAATAAGTGCATCGTTCTCCCTTGTATTAGTTCCACTCGAAAGCCACCCCACACTTAGTTCATTCTTATTTCTTTTAGCGCTCATTTTACAATTAAAATGTTTTGTAAAAGGATAAAAATAATGTCAATTAAGAATAAAAAGGGTATTTGCTTGTAATGTGGGTGTCAAATAAATGTCTATAGGCTCAAAAGGGTTAACTAGGGATAAATTTATTTGTGATAAGCATTTAAGCTCAAAAAGATCAAAGAAAGCCTAAAATTAATTTTAAAACCGAGCATCACCAAAATTTTCGCTTCCACTCACATATCGAGCAAGTCATAGACACAAGTACAATACACAGACTACACAAAAATCTCACCACACATAGCACATGACTCACTAAGGACGGTCACATTCTGACTCTCAACTAATGCAAGTATTCACAAATCCATGAGATATTAAGCATTAAGCACAAAGTGAACATAAGTCAAGTAAACGAGACATAGACACCACAAACATACTATCCAATTTATAAAGGTATCATGATCAATTTTAAAACATAGGAAATGTACTACACATGCCAAAGCCTAAATATGCTACTATCAAACAAGTCAGGAGCGCCTAGGAATCTCATCTTTCTTCCATTTATTCCCTAAATTCGAATCTACTCTAAAAGGAAAAAAATTACCCGGTTCAAACTACATCCCATGAAAAAGAACCGAGGCATAAAGAAAAATCACGGGGGATTATTACTACTTAAAGAAATTAAATGACGTACTTTGACTTTTTCTATTTTCTAAATTTTTTTGTGTGTTTTTTGTTAGACTTTAATCCCTCTAGAAAACTGTCTAGGAGATCCATCGTCGGAAAAGTCTAATTTTTTTTTATTTTTGATTTTTCTGATTTTTTAAATCTTTTTTTAATTAAGCTACTAAAACTACTATTACTATACTACACCATTAATTCTACTAACTATGCTATTAAATATAAGAAGCTAGCTAATAATAAAAATATAAGAAACTAACAATATACTAATATAATACTATACAAAGATCAGAGAATCTTTCACTCCACACTTAAAAGAGTGCAATGTGCCCAAAGCACAAATAAAGCAAAAATAATAAGAGTGGACAAGAAATTCCCTGAAAGGCCAAAGGCCGAAGCAATAGTAGCTCACGGGGTACTCAGACTTCTCCAAAGGATAATCCTTTGTGCGGGTACCTCACACTAGTTCCAACCATCTGGCTCGCTTTTGCACACTTTCAGTAACTTTTCTTCCTATACTCATAATCCTACAAAATAAAACAACACTACAAAGATAATAGAAAAATAAATAAACAAAATTTTTAAAAAAAACAGTAAAGCCGGGTTGCCTCCCAACAAGCGCCTAATTTAACGTCGCGGCACGACGTGTATCACTTTTTTCTCCACCTTAAACTTATGAATTGTACCCCCTAACATGGCATCCGGTCTACGGCTATGCTCCAGTGGTGGGGCTACAAAAATAACCAGGCCAAGCAATAAAATTTTCACTCTATACTTCTCGGCCTTTGGACGAGGAATGCCAGTTATGCTTTTTGGCACAATAAATTCAAGAATATAGGCACTCTCATCCTCACCCTTTGACTCCTTCACAGGCTCAGATGGCTCGATTACTATCTTACTATCTAAACACAGTGTGGAAAATGATTAGAATGAGGTCTAATGCGCCCTGACTCATGAATTGTACTGCTATTTATATCCCCATTTATACACACACTCAATTCTCCCAAAGTAATGTTATCTACTCCCTCACATGACTCTAGAACACTCTTCTCAATATTGGCATCCTCAAGAAAAACATGGTCTAATGATTGGTATTCTCGTTTTAGCTCTTCAATTTGGTCTAGAAGATTTTTTTTCAGCTTCACACAATTCATCAGTAAATTGTTAGACATTATGCGCATCAACCTTTGCGCTCAAATTTGCATCCAAGTTATACACAGCCAAGCCAAAATTATCAATTTTATGTGCAAGCTCATCTCTCTCCTTAGACCAATCATTCACCAACGTTATTGATAAATAACGTCGTTCGACATATTCCCCTAATCTAGAATATCTGTCTCAATACACACCCTTACTCCCATATTTAAATTCAGATCTCCAAGAGGTCAAGCGATGGCAAGCTCAAAAATACAGACCATAAAAGTCTTCTGTTAACCAAGCGTCTTCTGTAATAACCTTACCTCCGAATATTTCATCCCTCTATGTCATGCTGAGAGAACTAGAAACACACTAAGACAAAAATCAAATAGTTGTAAAATAAAATATTTACAAAAAGAGAAAGGAAAAAAAACTTGTAAAGATAAAAGTAAAAGTCTAATCTAGAAAAATAGTTAATTTCTAAGTCCCCGGCAATGGCACCAAAAACTTATTGCGGGCAAACGCACATGCAAGTATACGCGGTCGTCGAGTAATAAAATGACTAAAAGTCGGATGTCAAACCCACAAGGACTTGTGATTAACTATTAACTAAGTTAGACTATCCTAATTATCTAAACAAGGGTTAAACCCAAAAGAAGTGATGCTAAAGTAATTAAACTAAAAAGAAAATAACTAATGAACTTTAAATAGAGGAAGAACAAATTTTTATATTATCAATGTGATGAAAACGTTCTAGGGTTATGGGCTATCTAACATTCCTATTCTATTCTTCAATTGAATTGACTAACTAATTTATCTAGTCTATTGGTTAATAGGGTTAATATTGCTCATAAGAATCTGTCGAGCTCTTACTTCCCTATTCAAGCGCACCTAACGCCTATATGTCTATGGAATTAGAACAAATAAGAACACATTGGTCGGAAATTACCGACCAACTTTGGTCGGTCAATTAAATTCGAAATCGAACCGGGGTCTGTACTGTGGCAAGATACTATTCTACCACTAGACCATTGGTGCATTTTGTTTTAAGACTGTCTTTTATTTTATTTATACTCTTTAATTGTATTTTTGCACGAAAATAACCAACCAATGTCAGTCGATTTTATTAAAAAATAAAATTACAGACCGAATTCGACCGGTTTTTAAAAATGACCGGCTGAATTAACCAACCGATTTCGGTCGGGTTTTTAAATATTAATTTTAATTTATTTTAAATGAAAAATTGACCAAAGTTGGTCGGTTTCTTGAAAAATAAATTTTGCGAGACTCAAAAATAGTTTCCCGCATTTTTGCGCCAAAGAAAACCGACCAAAGTTAGTCGATTTTATTAAAAAAAATTAAAAAAAATATTTTGAAAAACCGACTAACTTTGGTCGATTTTTTGGCCAGTTTTTTGATTGGCCGAAATTGGTCGGTCGACCGCGGTTTGTTTTTGCCGAACTTCTAGTGGTGGAAGAATGCAAGAAATAAGGAGGTCGAGAATTTGAAAAGTTGGACTAGTAAACGTTGCAACTATTGAGCCTCATGTATTACTGTAATGAATAAGAAGAGTCAAACAATTGGAGGTTACGATGAGAAAAAAATAAATTGGAGGTTATGGATATTAAAAAGCGAAGGAATTACAAAAAAATACACATTTCACACCATAACAAAAAAATGGCCCATATTGTTAAGTTTTACCTTACCTAGCTCATATTGTACATATTTTGAAAGCATTAGCAAATTCAAAATGTGTGTTCTTACAACTATTGCTTCTAAAAGCTATGGAGTTAAATCTCACAACGATTGTTTTCACTCTCTCTTCTTCTTGCATCTTCTACATATGCTTCAAGGGGTTGTGTATTTTCTGCTTCTCCTCCTATTTGCAATGTTAGAAAATTGAAGAGTAGAAACCCACCATTGAAGGCCATTCAAAGCTTTGCTTTCGAAAATAGGATTTTTTTGAGTTTGTTAGGTATTTGGATTGGGTGTTGTTCCAATTGGTTGAAAATATCAAAAGAAGTTCAAAATTTAAATTTGAAGTGATTTGGAGTAGACTTGAGTTAAATTTCAGAAAAGACGCAAGGTAGAAGACGAAGTCAGTTTTTTGTATAATTTTGTATAATCTTGTATAATAGTGTATATGAGTGTATAAACACATTTATACACTATTATACACCTTTATACAAGCGTCTGTAGACGAATTTTTTTCACGATTTTCAGTTACAATTCTTGTTCAAAACCAGTCCAAATCTCCATTAAATGACTTCAAATTTTATATACAACCTCCTTATACTATTTCTAACAAGTCTAAATAACACCTACTCTAAATTTCTCACAAAATCAAATTTGAAATTTAAATCCACATATTTAAGCTTGTTAAAAATCTAATTTTCACCACCCAAATAGATTTGGTTTGTTGAACTAATATTTGAGTCACAATTACTGATTCAAAAATTAACTTAAAAGTTTGAGCAATCTTTTTTAGAAATTAAATAGTAATTTCGAGAATCTATTGGAGTTGAATGTATTAGCCTATTATTTTTGGGCTAGTTGGTTGTAAATTGAAATATGAGCTATAAAATTGAAAAGTAAAAAGCCCAATTATTCTTATATGAAATTTTCCCTTAAAAAAGTCATGACCCCAATGAAAAGGTGCAAGTGAGTTATGGCATTACATATGGGGTTTTTAAATAATTAAAATGGAAATTTTGAAAGTAAAGAGTCAAAAAAAGAAGAGAAAAGAATAAAAAGTCCTACATTATAGAGATTTAATTAGGGTACGCGCGTTGCATGTGTAAATATATATCAATGAGTATAAACTTTTTGTAATCACATCAATAGTTTTTATAAAAATATATATGAGTTATAAAATAAAAAGATAATTCAAGTTTGTGAAAATGATAAATTTATTAATGCTATTATCAAAAAAATTATACTCATTGATATAAAGGAAGAGACATACCCAAAAAAATGTCCTCAAAACATAAGCAGCAAAGTTGATCCATCATATATTATATTATATTATTATTTATTATTGGTATAATTCCCCTAAATAAGTTTACACACAAATTTCTCTCATCTCTTTATTGCAGTAATCCTGCATATTAGATAATATAAAAAGATAAAAAGTTTAACTTAAGGCAAAATCAATAATATTTTATATTATCAGGTCACATAAAAAATATCTACAAATAACTTGATTTATAATTTTGAAAATAAAGTAGGTAAAATTAAACTGATAGTGGAAAATTCTTTGACCATCAATAAATATTAGTTAAACACCATAAAAAGATGCACACATACGTAAAAATATTTTGACATAAAGTTAAGCGAATACAAAAGCACAAAAGTACATAGTTCTGTTGACAGTAACAAATCTCAACAAATAATGACTTCAAATAGCTACTATTTATCCTAATAGATACTATATATTTGTAAAGGAATTTGTAGAGATACTTGCCTAATTAATCAAATTCCAACCATAGCTAAAAATTATAAATTATCAATCAAACCTTTAAAGAAACACACCGAATTAAACGTTATAATTATAGCCATAAAGATGAAAGATTTTTGTTCCTCAAGCCATACTCATTCCCTTTTTCTAACCATAGCCAGAAGTGGAGAGTATCAATTCATCTGCTCAAATCTCGTTTTCGAATTGAATGGAGGAATTAACTTGAGGAATGAATAATTGTTGATCTTTTATTGCAAAATAACCCTAATTAAGAAATTATTTTTAAAGAGAAATTGACGCAAGTAATATAATAGTTAAAAGATGGAAATAAACAATCAAAATTTTAAATTAATCCTTCATAGAGTATGCGGTAAAGGAAGTCGTCTGCCACATTGTTTCATTTATGTTGAAAAAAATAATACACATTATTCACTGCCTCAGAATTATGAGAGTATCCATTATATACTTGCTACCTTATAAAAGCTAATTTATAAAGAAAAGAATCAATAGCACAATCAATTTAGACAAGTATATCACCATGATCATTTATCACATTGTAAGTATAAATTTTCTATTTACTAATTATTTCTGCATCCCTTATAGTTATTTATATTGCAGGACCTTTTCATTGCTGGAACTGACACAACTTCAAATACATTAGAATGGGCAATGGTAGAGGCCATGAGAAAACCAGATATTATGTCAAAAGCTAAAGCCGAGCTTGCAGAAGTTATTGGCAAAGGCAAGGTAATAGAAGAAGCTGATGTTGCTCGTCTCCCTTATTTGCAGTGCGTAGTTAAAGAAACCTTGCGAATACACCCAGCAGTTCCCCTTTTGATACGCAAGGTAGATCAAGACGTTGAGGCGTGTGGATACTTTATTCCAAAAGGCTCCCAAGTGTTAGTGCACGTATGGTCAATGGGGCGCGACCCAGCTATTTGGGAGGATCCTTTGGCATTTAAGCCTGAAAGATTTTGGGATGTGAAAATGGATTTTTTTGGCCATGATTTTGAGCTCATTCCATTTGGTGTTGGCCGAAGAATATGCCCGGGGTTACCTTTGGCAACCAGGACATTGTCTGTAATGTTGGGTTCATTGTTGAATTCATTTGATTGGAAAGCTGAAGGGGATATTGCACCAGAGGATTTGGATGTCGAAGAAAGGTTTGGCATTACACTAGCGAGATCAATTCCTTTACGAGCTGTCCCTATTCCGCTATAAATATAATGTCAGCTTCAAGCCAACACCCAAAACCTAATAATTAATTTGGAGTCTTGACGTTATACCTTAGTCATGAATAATGAAGTTGCACATGTTACTAAATTAGTTTATGATTTGTGTGTGCAAACCTCCTAAGCACGGATCTTATTTTTTGTACTTGTTTACTCTTATGTAAGTATAGTGACAAGGGTTCATATTATCAAGGTATCATATGTCTAAAGATTCTGACTTATTTCAGAGGCGTTAGTGACTTCAGATTGAAGAAGGGTTTGATTTCTGCGCATCTCTTCGGGGACATGGGGCGTAAACCCCGTGCTAGAACTAGTGGTACATCTTGTGGACAACTTCGGAACGTTAAAAAGAAATACTAAATCAACAAAGCAAAAGTTGTAATATGTGAAACCATGTTAAAAATAGTAGTATTGTTAATCCTAAACCTCAAGGGAGGTTTCTGTAATTAGCTCCCCTCCCCCTTGAAGAAAAATATTTGAATAATGCTGCAGGGCTCACATGGCGCAAGAATATTTTTATTAATATTGGTATAATGCATCAATCATACATGGAGCAAGCAATTGTGTTGACCTTCAGGCTTCAGAGATACTCCTTTTCATAGTTAGCAGAACATGATGTATTTAACCACTAGATAATGTAAAGCTCGTACTCTGGATTATTATACTTATGGATTACATAGCCATTGTCGGTGGATTATTACTTGCCTGGACTTTCGTTCAATTAATTTGTTGGATTTCAACAAGCAAAAGATGTAACAAAAAGCTTCCACCAGGACCAATTCCACTACCACTGATTGGAAATCTTCACAACATACTTGGTGGTCAACCCCATCAGTCCCTGACGAAACTAGCTGAAAAATATGGCCCAATAATCAGCCTCAGGTTGGGCCAAATAACGACGGTGGTAATATCTTCATCAGCGGTGGCAAAAGAAGTTATCCAAAAGCAAGATTTGGCCTTCTCCAGCAGAACAATCCCAGATGCAATCCATGCCCTTAATCACTATCAATTCTCTGTTATATGGCTGCCAGTTCATAGTCGGTGGAGAAGCCTCCGGAAAATCATGAATACTTATATCTTCTCTGGCAACAGGCTTGACGCAAATCAGCATCTCAGGTATATATCAAATCAATAAAGTTTGCTTGAGTCAAAATGAGTTGGGTTAAGATGAGTCAAATAGCTGGTCAAAATCCGATCGACTAAACATGATCCAATTTTACTTTGTTTTGTTTAAAAGAGAAATGCACAAACTTATGTTTTTTTCTTAAATTATCAGGTTAAGTTCTTCCAGGTTTATATTTTCCAATTTCCTAATCTAATTTTGTGTATTTAGGTTTATATTACTAAGAAAAATTGCCGATTTTGCAACTTCTAATCTCAGGTCCCAAAAGATCCAAGATTTAATAGCTTATTGCCGTCGGTGTAGCCAAACAGGGGATGCAGTGAATATAGGCCAAGCTGCTTTTGAGACCTCTATGAATTTACTTTCGAGTACTATTTTTTCAAAGGATGTAGTGGACCCTTATGCAAATTCAGGTAAAGAATTCAAGGATGCGGTGTGCAAAATCACGGAAGAAGCTGGTAAGCCCAATTTGGCTGATTATTTCCCCTTGTTGAAAAGGATAGATCCTCAAGGGATAAGGCGATGCGTTGGCAAGAATTTCGATAAATTGCTTCAGCAGATTGAGGTATTGATTGATGAACGGTTGGAGGAAAGTAGGAAATCGCCAACTAGAGATAGCATAGATGTTCTTGATGTTTTGTTAAATACTAGCCAAGAAGATCCGGAGGCAATCGACAGAAATCACATAGAGCGGTTATGCCTGGTATTTATTTCAGCTACTTATCTTCATTAAGTTGCTTATTTGCCACATGCTGCTCTAGTTGGCTTCATTAGGTTCCTGTTCATTTTAATTTTTCTTCATATACAAATCCAGTTCAATGGGATTTACTTCTAAAGTAGAAATTCTTTTGTCCTGTCAAAGTCAATGTACAAGCTTGATTTCCTGAGCTAGAACGAAATGGACATATGAGCAATCCATTACGTGAACACAATTGATCGGACCAACAAGAAGAGAAAGAAAGGTCGATTCCCCAAATACCTTAACAGAGTTGAGCTTTAGGGGGATTCTTTTTTGTGGTATTGGACATAAAAAAAGTCAAGTATACTATGCAGGCTTGAATTACTGGAATATTTGCTTCAAAGAACTCCTTCAAGCTTGAAAGTTTAGCACAGATAGCTTTATTTGACAATTAGCTGGAAGTCGGGTAATATCTGTGTTTGACCTTTATTAGCATATGCTACTCACATAATTTACCCTTCCTCAGTTACTCTTTGGCCAAATTGTAGAGATTTATCCATCATAGGTGTTGCGGAAGCCAAATGTATATAGTGTGAATAAGTCACAACTACTATACCAAAAATTATGACAGCCACCAAATAATAAATAAGACAATAAAACAACAATAAAGGGAACACCAGAATTTACGAGGTTCGGCTAATTTTGCCTACTCCTCGGACACAACCAATATTTTATTCCACTCCAAAAATACAAGTGAAATAATACTAAAGAGAGAAGATACAAATGCCTTAAACAGATGAGAAGGCAAATGAGAGGTGTGTTTCAATCCTAAACATTAGGCCTTCTTTTATAGGGGAAAAATCCCCCCCAAACTTAACTCCCAACCAATGTGGGACTTTGGCATTTTGCCAAATTTCAACAATCGCCTCAGAATTATGAAAGGGTCCGTTATATGGAGTACTTGATATCTTATAAAAAGCTAATCTGTAAAGAAAAGAATCAGTGGCACATTCAATTTAGACGAGTACATCACCATGATTTATCACATATAGTAAGTATAAACTTTCTGTCTGCATCCCTTATAGTTAGTTATATTGCAGGACCTTTTTATTGCTGGAACTGACACAACTTCAAATACACTAGAATGGGCAATGGTAGAGATCATGAGAAAACCAGACATAATGGAAAAAGCTAAAGCCGAGCTTGCAGAAGTTATTGGGAAAGGCAAGATAGTAGAAGAAGCTGATGTTGCTAGACTCCCTTATCTACAGTACATAGTTAAAGAAACCTTACGGATGTACCCAACAGTTCCCTTTATGATTCGCAAGGTAGATCAAGACGTTGAGGCGTGTGGGTACTTTGTCCCGAGAGCTTCTCAAGTGTTAGTGAATCTATGGTCAATAGGTCGTGACCCAACTATATGGGAAGAGCCTTTGGTATTTAAGCCTGAGAGATTTTGGGGTTCAAAAGTGGACGTTCGTGGCCAGGATTTTGAATTCATTCCATTTGGTGCTGGTAGGAGAATTTGCCCCGGGTTACCTTTGGCAAATAGAACAGTTCCTGTAATGTTGGGTTCATTATTGAATTCATTTGATTGGAAAGCTGAAGGTGATATTGCACCAGCGGATTTGGATGTGGAAGAAAGGTTTGGTATTACACTAGCGAGAGCACGTCCTTTACGAGCTGTACCTGTTCTGCTATAAATGTTTGCTCCAAATTGGTCATGTAATACCATTATTATTGACAAGACAACACCCCAAACTAAGGCATTGGGGAGTCTTGATTCAGGCATGAATATTGAAGTTCCACATTAGTTTATGATTTGTTATTTGTAGCCCTCCTAAGTAAGGATGCTTTTGTTTTTTGTATATAATGACAGGAGCTTATATTATCATGGTATCAGAAGTCTAAATATCATAACTTATCTCTCAAGATCAAATTTAGATTGTAAAAGGGCTCTCTTTCTTTGCATCTCTTTGGAGATCAGGGTATAACAAACTATTCTAGATTTACCCACCTTCCATGTAGATAGTTCAAATTACCAGTATGTAATTCTCTTCCTCCTTTTTTTTTTCCTCCTCCCTTTTATAATTTATATAGGTCAAAATTCAGTGACATTATTTATTCTTCAAGCTACTATTGATGTTATTACGCTGATTAGTGCTTTGTACTAAATTTGCACAGTATCTATCAACAAGTCCCTAATAAACTGTTTGGCATTCACTTTTCTTAGTTGTATTTGAAATTTTGGTTCAACTTTGGATTGCTTTGGATGTTTTAGTCTACCTGGAACTCACCCCTCTTCATCATCTGTTGACGATTAATACTTGCCTGCACTTTGTTTCAACGGAAAAGGGCCAAAAATGTCCCTCTAGTATGTGAAATCGAGGGCATCTGCCCTCCGTTAAAACTTTGGCCCTGGCCTACCCCTCCCGTTAATACCTTGGGCCAAAAATGCCCCCTTTTTCGTTCCCCACCCAACAGAAAATAATTTAGGGACTCATTAAAGTTAATTATATTATTAATTAATAGATTTAACTATTTGACTTTTAAATTAATATTTTAAATTACTTTTTAACTTGACCCATTATAATCTGAGTTGACCCGACCCAACCCTGCTACTCGTTCTAGGGCTCGTTTGTGAGGGCTTTGTTGGTTGAAAGTGGAACATAAATCAAGTTTTTTATAGTGAAATCTGGAAAATCAAGGTATGCTACTAATCACTGTTATACTTTTTTATCGTGGAGTTAGGGTTGGTTGGCCCTTTTCTTTTTAAAGAAATATTTTCTTTTTGGTGTTGTTGTAAGAGTAAATGATTTTAAAACTTGGTTTTATATCTAAAGTTTAGTTTTTTGATGTTTGTATTGGAATATTTTATGGTCCCGAGCCAGCTTCTTGTCTTTTAGGGTTTATTATGATTTGTAATTGATGGTTGTTATTGTGCAGTTACTGATGTGGTTCATTTTTTGTCCCCTTTTTCTGTTCCTTTGCATGTGAAAGCTATTGAAGATGATTGAGAAAGTTGACTTGGTTTTCCACTATGGGGGTAACTGGGTAATTTTATCTGAATTTCTATAAAATTAGAATATGTTGCATGTTTTGTCTGGTTATGAATCTGGTGGTGTTCGATTTGCTCTTATTTGTGATGAGTTTACAAAGAACTTAGGGTTTACAAAAATCAAACAACTTTTAGTAACCGGACTTCTGGAAGATATTACCTGGTAACAGATGATGATGATATGAGGATCTTGCAGTATGGTTTAGAGTTATAAATTTCTTTGCTGTAGATGATTCGGATTTGAGGGTTTTTGCTCAAGATATCAAATACCACATTGAAACACACATTGTAAATGTCGATGTAGCTTCTGACCAAGAAAGTACTATAAGTGCTTGTGACTCTGATGATTCAATTTCATCTTATTATAATTCTGAAGAACTTGAGGCTTTTAGCCAAGAAAGAAGGAGGGATATGAGCTATAAATTGGAGAACTATATGGAATTAGAGAAGGGTCAAACATTTAAGGATATGACTGAGGCCAGAAAAGTAATAAACTTCTATGCAATAACTAATCGTAAAGGTTTGAGGTTAAAAAAAGTGATAATACTAGGGCCAGATATAAGTGCCAAGATGAATGCCCTTTTGTCTGTTTCATATCAAACGATGGCAGGAGTGACACCTTTAGAATCAAAACCTTGAATCCTAATCACATTTGTGACCCTGTGTTTAGAAACCTTATGGCAGGTGCCAAAACATTAGCTCATATATTTAAGAGTAGATTTCAGTATAATCCTCAATACAAGGTAAAAGATATGAGAGGAGAGTTGGAGACTAGTTATGACCTAAATGTGCCTAAGACTATGGTGAAAAGAGGTAAGAGGTTTTCTGTTGGGTGGGGAACGAAAAAGGGGCATTTTTGGCCCAAGGTATTAAGGGAGGGGTAGGCCAAGGCCAAAGTTTTAAAGAAGGGCAGATGCCCTCAATTTCACATAGTAGAGGGGTATTTTGGCCCTTTTCCGTTGTTTCAATGCATTTCTTGCCTTTCAATAAGCAAAAGATGTAACAAAAAACTTCCACCAGGACTAATTCCCCTACCATTGCTTTTGGTGATCAGCCCCACCAGTCCCTCGCAAAGCTAGCTGAAAAATATGGCCCAATAATCAGCCTCAGATTGGGCCAAATAACGACGGTGGTAATATCTTCATCAGCCGTGGCAAAAGATGTCCTCCAAAAGCAAGACTTGGCCTTCTCCAGTAGAACAATCCCAGATGCAATCCATGATCTTTATCACAACCAATTCACTGTTGAATGTCCTGGAGTTTCACGTGCGAAAGTTTAAACTCCATGACAGTGGTTATTTCAATTACAGAAGCTGAAAAGTGACTATTTGTGAATTTTATCCAACTTTGCATTATATGGGCTCATGTGCCATTCCGCGTATGATATCTCCTGCTAAATGTAGAGAATTTGCAGGTGTAGGATCCTCTTATGCAGCTCCCATTTCCACTTATTTTTCATCACAATGACACCTACTTACCGATCACTTTTATTTTCTGAGAGAGTGAGCATCAAATATTAAAGAATAGGAATGTTGAGTAAAATTTACAAGAAATTAATTCTTTTCACATGATTTTTGTATTCTTATGTTCATTCTGATATAGTGGAGTTACTCATTATAAGCAATGGCCATAGCCCATAAGTATATATTGATGGAATTACTCTGTATCAGTTTACTTTATATGCAAGTTCCTCATCCTTACATAAATTGAATCTCTATTTCAATTGGCAAGAAAAAACTAGTAATTAAAGAGTGGGGAGTAGTTCTGATGTTCAATCAAAGTCATATATATAATCATCTTATGTTTCATCATCTTCTTCACGCTTGCATGACAAAGTGCAGTCATATCTGCTTATTTACTACTTAGTTTAGTAGTGGATTGTACATGCACTCACTTTCTTGGATAAGTGGATTGTACCTAATTTGATTTGCCTTCACCATAATTGAACAGCCTCTCCATGTTTGCCGCACTAAACGGATTTTCTTAGGAGAGGACTTTCACTTGTCTCTAAGATCCTTTGGAGCAATTACTAGCTTATTAAGTTTCTATATATGCTGATACCCTTCAAGTCAAGAAAGTCAAAAAGCAAACAGTAAGAAGGACAGTCCCGTGCACAAAGCATATCACGTTCACATAGCAACAAGGGAAGGGTCGTATCCCAAGGGGTGAGATGTAGACAGCCTACCCTGATGCACGCATCAATGGCTGATTCCACAGCTCGAACCTGTAACCTTTAGGCCACACAACAATTTTACCGTTGTTCCAAGGCTCTCCTTCTCGTTACTAGTTAGTGCTAACATAATCCATTTTGCATACTCATTATCCGCCCATACGAGTGATTGTTCAACTAGGTTGGTGATACTAAAGTGCTAACGAATGTGAAGAAATACCGGAATATAGAATTACTAATTCTCTAACATTTTTTCCAAATTAGTCAGCTGAGGATCCACTTTGCGGTTTGAGCCCCACATATATACTCCAGTAGGTTGGCCATTTGTGGAGATGGGTGGGAGAGAAAAAAAAATAGTATCTTACTCGTTAGAGTTTGTTAAGATCCTAAATGGTCTGGGACCAGAGTTTCGTTGGATTTCTGCTGCAATTCGTGCTCATGACTCCACTATTACGTACGAAGAACTCTATGAGAAGCTTCTTGATATGAGTTTTTCCTTAAACATGAAGAGTCAAAGAAAGCTCCGAGCCAGATTACTGTTGGTACTACTGCTACATTCAACAAATCTGGAAACTCGAATAATCGCAACAGTCGTCGCTCCAACAGTGGCAGCAACCAACAATGGCGATACAACAATCGCTTTAATTTATAAAATCAGTGGCGATCTTCGAACACCAGCAACTTTTATGATGATGTTCGCTCCCAGTTGTGCAACAAACTAGGTTATGTTGCAAGTGTATGCAGATCCAAATCTCACAATCATTTTGAGGCTAAGGCCAACTATGTTTCGGGAATGCACACATAAGCAAATCCTTGAATTCTCGACTCTGAAGCATCTCACCACATAACTGATAACAATATTGGTGTGATGGTCGTTCAATTTAATCCTGCATCACAATTGCCAATAAAATTATATGGCTGCCATAGAACTTTGCAACTTGGAAGGCGCAATTTTCCATGCTTATGCATGGTCATAATCTTTATGGTCATCTAGATGAGTTTACTCCTGCTCCATCTCACACTATCACAACTGACACAATCCTTAGTGCCAATCCTACATTTGCTCTTTGATTCCGTCAAGACCAACTCATTCAAAACGCACTTATGGCATTTATTGATCCAACAATTGCCACTACTATTCCAACTCTTGATTCAACAAAAATATCCTGGGATGTATTGCACACTACATATGCGAACAAGTCCCAAACCAGAATTTTCAGTCTTCGCAATCGACTTGCGAGACTCATAAAAGACTCCCAATCAGTCACTGAATATTTGCAAAATATGCGATCCATAGCTGACGAACTCTCTGATGCTGCTGCCCCGATCACAAGCTCTGATACCATATAAGAACAATAATAAAGCATAAAAGCTGATGTGTTTATTGAATCAAAACAGCCTTTAAATACAAGAATGAAAAACTAATTCCCTAAACTAACTCCTCTAGAAGAGGAGGAATAAACTATTTACTGAACAAACTCCTTGAATAATGAGATATATTTGAGAAAATAAAGGACTAATAAAATCCTAACTACTAGTTAATAGAACACTTGGACTCAATTCTTTGTCTTTGGAACTTTACTACTATGGTTATGGGTTTTTTTCCCGTCATTTTTCTCGAATAGGTATGTTTTGTCCCTTTCTCTAATACTCGATGTTTATACTTTTCTGGGACAAATTTTTTCAAGATACAGTTCTTCTTCTGCTATGGTTTAATTGATTTATATTTGATTAATATTTATTTATGTTTGGTTTACTCATTGTTGGGTAATATAAAAGATATGCAATATTCTAAAAATGGTACATCTTATTCAAAAGTCACATTGTTCTATTAGTTATTGACTATCTTTGATAGTTTGAAACTATTATTTTATTTTATTATCTTGCTGATTAGCTCTTCTTAATTGAGTTTGGAAAACTATTGTCAAGTTGGGAAATAGAACAATCGACACTTCAGTACTACTTAAAGTTGTGAAATTCAAACCCGATAGAAACAATGATAGAT